TGTCTCCTTTGCATAAAAACAAACCGCTGCAGTGACAGTAATGGCTCATATCGATCGCTCTGCTGGAGAGAAAGTGTTGGAATCATTTAAGGTTTTACTGCTCAGAGACTTTTGACCAATGCCTTTAATAAAATGAAATCTAAATCTTCCTGAGCAAAGGTGCACTTCTCTCGCCCTGAGCCAAAACCCCGTGTCCCGGAGCACAGCTGGGTCTGCTTTTTATCTATCAGGAAATGCCACAAACTCACTATTATTAAGTAACACGGAAGAGATATTCGCTGCTTGCCTTGATGTGTCTTCTTCTTCTTCTTCTTCTTCTTCTTCTTCTTCTTCTTCTTCTTCTCCTTCTCCTTCTCCTTCTCCTTCTTCTCCTTCTCCTTCTTCTTCTTCTTCTTCTTCTTCTTCTCCTTCTTCTCTGCAGAGCGTCTGTTCGAGGACCAGGAGAACATGGTGGAGCCGCTGTTGGCCTGGACCCGCGACACCGAGAACCAGGTCCTGTTCAAAGAGATGCCCGAGAAGTACGAGGTGTTCAAGAACCCGCAGGTGGGTCTCCACAACACGCCACAACACGCCACAACACGCCACACACACATCCACCCTCCTCTCCCAGCTCCTTGTAAAATATCCCTGCCGTCCGACCTTGCAGACCGCATTATTTTTGGCCGGCGCTGGCACAAATCTATCTCTGTTTGTGTTTGAATCCTGTCCGAACGAGGCCGAGCTGCCGCAGTATTTCAGCGAAGCGTTCCAGGCGGGAGACACTGACATCTTGGCATGTTTGTTGACATAATTGCACAGCCTTTCATAATCTCTGAGAGTTTAATGGATCCCTTCTGTTGGCGGAGGACTAATGGTCTGATTGCCGCATGGAAACTTGGGGAGAGATCCTGCGACTGTAAATGTAGTCAATCACGCCGCGTTCACATCCCCCACGCAAAACATAGATCTGTGTTATACCGCACCGAACAGGCCCATTTATACTTTCAACGTTTTGACAGGAAATAAGTAAATAAAAGATGTTCCCTGTGGCTGTTTCACCACATTTATAGAAGCAGAAAAGACTGGAGTATGAATCAAACTCGCCGCGGTGTCAGATCGGCCTCGCTAAGATGAATAGATAGGGCTGCGTGCGATGCTGGGTATTATCCCGTGGTATTTTTGTGAAAGTTTGCGATCAATTACTTAAATCTGCTTTCTGCTGACGATGCGGAAGCGGCCCCCAATGTGTCGTCTTCAATTACGTTCACTGTGACGTCATGCTTAAAACTGTTTTTGGGTTTCGCTCGTCCGGCCGCCACACGCAGTCCCTCGAAACGGGCGAACACTTCATGAGATTGGAAGTGTTTGAAAATACATGTGGGGCTTCAGATGGTGATTTATATCCACGATTAGCTGGTTTCTCTGAGTGGTGTCGGTGGTTCAAGTCTGCAGCAAAGACTTTTCTGGGTTTCATGGTTAACTGGGCACGATATATAGAAGCCTCCAAGACCAGGACCAGGACCAGGACCGGGATCAGGACCAGGACCAGCAGGAGCAGAGACAGTTTTTTATCATAGAGAGGTCCCACTCTTGATCTCTCTTGATCTCTACTTCTTTGTTTGAGCTCCAAAGGGTCCTGAATGTGTTGGTAAAGGCGGGATGTGGAGCGGGTTCAGGTTAAACTACAGCCTAACAGAAAACAGGAAGTAGAAACTGGTTCAGTGGCTTCCTGTTCCAAACGGTTAACTCGACCATGGAGCTTACATCCTCAGGCACAGAGAGAGAGAGAGAGAGAGAGAGAGAGAGAGAGAGAGAGAGAGAGAGAGAGAGAGAGAGAGAGAGAGAGAGAGAGAGAGAGAGAGAGAGAGAGAGAGAGAGAGAGAGAGAGAGAGAGAGAGAGAGAGAGAGAGAGAGAGAGAGAGATACATACATACACAGATACATACATACATACATACATACATACATACATACATACATACATACATACATACATACATACATACATACATACATACATACACATACATACATACATACATACATACATACAGAGAGAGATACATACATACAGAGATACATACATACAGAGAGAGACACATACATACAGAGAGAGAGATACATACAGAGAGAGACACATACATACAGAGAGAGACACATACATACAGAGAGAGACACATACATACAGAGAGAGACACATACATACAGAGAGAGACACATACATACAGAGAGAGACACATACATACAGAGAGAGACACATACATACAGAGAGAGACACATACATACATACATACATACAGAGAGAGACACATACATACATACATACATACATACAGAGAGAGACACATACATACATACATACATACATACAGAGAGAGACACATACATACATACATACAGAGAGAGACACATACATACATACATACATACATACAGAGAGAGACACATACATACATACATACATACATACAGAGAGAGACACATACATACATACATACATACATACAGAGAGAGACACATACATACATACATACATACATACAGAGAGAGACACATACATACATACATACATACATACAGAGAGAGACACATACATACATACATACATACATACATACATACAGAGAGAGACACATACACATACATACATACATACATACATACAGAGAGAGACACATACATACATACATACATACATACATACAGAGAGAGACACATACATACATACATACATACATACATACAGAGAGAGACACATACATACATACATACATACATACATACAGAGAGAGACACATACATACATACATACATACATACATACAGAGAGAGACACATACATACATACATACATACATACATACATACAGAGAGAGACACATACATATACATACATACATACATACAGAGAGAGAGACTACATACATACAGATACATACATACATACAGAGAGAGACACATACATACATACTACATACATACATACAGAGAGAGACACATACATACATACATACATACATACATACAGAGAGAGACACATACATACATACATACATACATACATACAGAGAGAGACACATACATACATACATACATACATACATACAGAGAGAGACACATACATACATACATACATACATACATACAGAGAGAGACATACATACATACATACATACATACATACAGAGAGAGACACATACATACATACATACATACATACATACAGAGAGAGACACACATACATACATACATACATACATACAGAGAGAGACACATACATACATACATACATACATACATACAGAGAGAGAGACAATACATACATACATACATACAGAGAGAGACACATACATACATACATACATACATACATACATACAGAGAGAGACACATACATACATACATACATACATACATACATACAGAGAGAGACACATACATACATACAAAGAGAGACACATACATACAGAGAGAGACACATACATACATACATACATACATACATACAGAGAGAGACACATACATACATACATACAGACACATACATACAGAGAGAGACACATACATACATACATACATACAGAGAGAGACACACATACATACATACATACATACAGAGAGAGACACATACATACATACATACATACATACATACAGAGAGAGACACATACATACATACATACATACAGAGAGAGACACATACATACATACATACATACATACATACAGAGAGAGACACATACATACATACATACATACAGAGAGAGACACATACATACATACATACATACAGAGAGAGACACATACATACATAAACACATACATACAGAGAGAGACACATACATACATACATACATACAGAGAGAGACACATACATACATACATACATACATACATACATACATACATACATACAGATACATACATACATACATACATACATACATACAGACACATACATACATACATACATACATACATACATACATACATACATACATACATACATACATACATACAGAGAGACATACATACTACATACATACATACAGAGAGAGACATACATACATACAGAGAGAGACACATACATACATACATACATACAGAGACACATACATACAGAGAGAGACACATACATACAGAGAGAGACACATACATACATACATACATACAGAGAGAGACACATACATACATACATACATACAGAGAGAGACACATACATACATACATACATACAGAGAGAGACACATACATATACATACATACATACAGAGAGAGACACATACATACATACATACATACAGAGAGAGACACATACATACATACATACAGAGAGAGACACATACATACATACATACATACATACATACATACATACAGAGAGAGACACATACATACATACATACATACATACATACATACAGAGAGAGAGACACATACATACATACATACATACATACATACAGAGAGAGACACATACATACATACATACAGAGAGAGACACATACATACATACATACATACATACAGAGAGAGACACATACATACATACATACATACATACATACAGAGAGAGACACATACATACATACATACATACATACAGAGAGAGACACATACATACATACAGAGAGAGACACATACATACATACATACATACATTACATACAGAGAGAGACATACATACATACATACAGAGAGAGACACATACATACATACAGAGAGAGACACATACATACATACAGAGAGAGACACATACATACATACATACATACATACATACAGAGAGAGACACATACATACATACATACATACATACATAGAGAGACACATACATACATACATACATACATACATACAGAGAGAGACACATACATACATACATACATACATACATACAGAGAGAGACACATACATACATACATACATACATACATACAGAGAGAGACACATACATACATACATACATACATACATACAGAGAGAGACACATACATACATACATACATACATACATACAGAGAGAGACACATACATACATACATACATACAGAGAGAGACACATACATACATACATACATACATACATACATACAGAGAGAGACACATACATACATACATACATACATACATACAGAGAGAGACACATACATACATACATACATACATACATACATACAGAGAGAGACACATACATACATACATACATACATACATACAGAGAGAGACACATACATACATACATACATACAGAGAGAGACACATACATACATACATACATACATACAGAGAGAGACACATACATACATACATACATACATACATACAGAGAGAGACACATACATACATACATACATACATACATACATACAGAGAGAGACACATACATACATACATACATACATACATACAGAGAGAGACACATACATACATACATACATACATACATACAGAGAGAGACACATACATACAGAGAGAGACACATACATACAGAGAGAGACACATACATACATACAGAGAGAGACACATACATACAGAGAGAGACACATACATACATACATACATACAGAGAGAGACACATACATACATACATACATACAGAGAGAGACACATACATACATACATACATACAGAGAGAGACACATACATACATACATACATACATACAGAGAGAGACACATACATACATACATACATACAGAGAGAGACACATACATACATACATACATACAGAGAGAGACACATACATACATACATACATACAGAGAGAGACACATACATACATACATACATACAGAGAGAGACACATACATACATACATACATACAGAGAGAGACACATACATACATACATACATACAGAGAGAGACACATACATACATACATACATACAGAGAGAGACACATACATACATACATACATACATACATACATACATACATACATACATACATACATACATACATACATACATACATACATACATACATACATACATACATACATACATACATACATACATACATACATACATACATACATACATACATACATACATACATACATACATACATACATACAGAGAGAGACACATACATACAGAGAGAGACACATACATACAGAGAGAGACACATACATACAGAGAGAGACACATACATACAGAGAGAGACACATACATACAGAGAGAGACACATACATACAGAGAGAGACACATACATACAGAGAGAGACACATACATACAGAGAGAGACACATACATACAGAGAGAGACACATACATACAGAGAGAGACACATACATACAGAGAGAGACACATACATACATACATACATACAGAGAGAGACACATACATACATACATACATACAGAGAGAGACATACATACATACAGAGAGAGACACATACATACATACATACATACAGAGAGAGACACATACATACATACATACATACAGAGAGAGACACATACATACATACATACATACAGAGAGAGACACATACATACATACATACATACAGAGAGAGACACATACATACATACATACATACAGAGAGAGACACATACATACATACATACATACAGAGAGAGACACATACATACATACATACATACATACAGAGAGAGATACATACATACATACATACATACATACATACATACAGAGAGATACACATACATACATACATACAGAGAGAGACACATACTTACATACATACATACATACATACATACATACATACAGAGAGAGACACATACATACATACATACATACATACATACATACAGAGAGAGACACATACATACATACATACATACATACATACATACATACATACAGAGACAACACATACATACATACATACATACATACATACATACATACACATACATACATACAGAGAGAGACATACATACATACATACAGAGACACATACATACATACAGAGAGAGACACATACATACATACATACATACATACATACAGAGAGAGACACATACATACATACATACATACATACAGAGAGAGACACATACATACATACATACATACAGAGAGAGACACATACATACATACATACATACATACATACAGAGAGAGACACATACATACATACATACATACAGAGAGAGACACATACATACATACATACATACATACAGAGAGAGACACATACATACATACATACATACATACATACATACAGAGAGAGACACATACATACATACATACATACATACATACATACATACAGAGAGAGAACACATACATACATACATACATACATACATACATACAGAGAGAGACACATACATACATACATACATACATACATACAGAGAGAGACATACATACATACATACATACATACATACATACAGAGAGAGACACATACATACATACATACATACATACATACATACATACAGAGAGAGACACATACATACATACATACATACATACATACATACATACAGAGAGAGACATACATACATACATACATACATACATACATACATACATAC